TGAAAATTGACTAGCGACAAAGAAGATGAAAAAGCGAGATTTGGTTAACATACCATAGTCTGAATTGTGAAATGAGTGTTTATGAAGCTTTGTCAATTTTCCGAAGTGAATTGTGGCTATTGTAATATAGTTAAAATTAAAAGATAATCACAGAAAATATAGGTGAATGGGCAAATGGAATAATAGAAAAGTTTTTCCGTATCCGTTCAAAGACAACTCAACAGCACAGAAAAGTCGCTTTCTCGTCATTTTATTTATTTTATTTTGATCCAAGTTACAAACAGACGAAATAATATAACATGCAAGTAACAAGTAACAGCAACTAAGTCATAAAATTTGAATTAAGGATCAAAGATTAAGATTTTATAAATAAATTTAGAATATAAAAAAATAACAGACAATTGGTCAACACGCCAGTGCCCTCGTCTGAATCAGCTTGATTAGGTCGCACTATGTTGCTACGTACTGCCATAAGTCCACCCAGCAGAAAGGAGGTGGAATTTAGAGACCTGTATGCCATTTTTCGATATTTGTCACTTCGATATGTCCTATTATCCTTGAGACTGCGAGTAGGACTGCTTTGCTCCAATTTTCTGGTGCAAATTTTTTGTTCCATGCTAGTGAATTCATTAATTGCGAAGGTTCCTAGATAGAGTTTGAATTCCAAAACTCGAAGCCACTGCCTTCTCAAGAAGTTTTATTAGCGTAAAATTTTTGAATATTGGCGATTTGCAGTTATGGGACATGAAGATCTGACACAACATAATGCACCGTTAAGTTTAATCTCAAAAAACTTTCCATCGTGAAAAGCAGGCGGTCAGGCAGATACACTCATCAGGCACTTCACATTTGTTTCTAGCTACTTTAAATCATTTGTTTTACCATATCTTAATAGCGAATAAAATTTATTTATCATCTACCCAGATTTTGAGCAATTAACTTCTCGAAATCTCATTCATTCAAACCTGAATCTTTTTACTAGGTCCAGCTGGAGCATGTACCAGCGAGCTAGGGATATCATGTGCAGCTTGCAAGCGGGTCCGCAGCAACTAACCTTTTTTAGAATTTTATCAAGGTTTGCTCCTGTCACAGAATGAAAGAAGAATTAGAAAAAGAAAAGATGAGGTAAAAGAAAACCAATTTTTTTGCAAAATTATTTTAAATTTAAAAACTGTGAAATCATTAATATAAAATTGTAAACACAAGAAGCCAGCAAAGCAGTTAAATTTAACACGTATAACACGTAAGCAGTTAAATTTAGTGCAGAGCTGAGATTCCCGTCTTTTGGCCAACCATCTCTTTTTTATTTTATAAGAAATAACCACGAAAAGCAAAGAGGATTATTACTGTGAGATTTAAGCGAAGCAAACTACCACTGAGGGAATAAGCGATATGACAGAAGAGAGGTACGGTGCAAGAAATTCTCCGTGAAGAACAGAAATAAAGATGAAAGATAAGAGATAAGATAAAGAGGAGGGAAGCGAGAGGGAAGAGAAGGGAGCACCTAACTGTGCATCCACAAAATAGCATTCCGTCAGTGTGCATCCACAAAATAGCATTCTGTCAGTCACCAAAGCGGAAGTACCAAACAATTTGTTCAAAAGATAGTAACACATAAATATAAATATTGGCATAAATACCGAGCAATTCACTAATCCATCTTTTAATATTCTTATTTTATATTTATAATATTTATTAATTACTAACAAAGATTGTTACTTTGCATTATGGTGGTTAGCCGCGCATCTCGCAAACTTTTAGGTGCATAAGAATCCCTTCCATGCGATCTTTTAATCTACTTCGCTTTTCGTTCCTGTGATTTAAATCCTCATGAGCCCTGGCGCAGAAGCCGTCGAATTAGTGCTGCACTACCGCGAAAATCGCGGCTGTGGCCTTGAATCGCTGCAATATTTCACCTCCAACATAGCAAGTGACGGATGCGTAGATTCGACGGTTAAGTCATTCTGTCTATAATTCTTGAATAGAGCGAGGTAATTGAACTGTTGTGGTACTGTGAGGAGTTGTTGGCAGTGATTTGTTTACAATGTTTTAGGGGTTTTCTAAGAAAACATTTAATTGAAATATTTAATTGAGTTGAAAGGGGTTTTATAAAATTCACTATTTGATTTGTTGTTTGGTTTCTTACGTCTAAAAAAATTTAAATTGAATAAATGAAATCCAAATAATTTAAAATTTGCAAAAAATTAATTAAATTTCCGATCTTCTCGGATTTAAGCCATTTTCAATTAATTATTTACTAATATAAATTAAAAAGGAATTATTCTTACTATTAGTTGCTTTCTCTTTTGTTATATTTATTTTTATCAAGATTAAATTGTTAAATTTCTGCCAAATATTTGTTAACTTGTGTTTTACTTTTTTACTCTCAAGAAATATACTATACTATTTATATAATAAATATACTATACTAAAAATATACTATAATATTTATGTATGAATGATGAGAAAGAACATTTATAATTTTTTTCACTTTTAGGAAAAAGCATAAAAAAAGCAGCACAATGTTACCACCGACTTATACGAGTCAGTTGCAAGAGAATCCACCGCAAAATGGTAGTTTTAACAAATTTGAAGCACCTTGCTTTTCTCCTCATTTTCAAGGTGTTCTACATTTCCTTCTCCAGTTTAATTTTTTTTTGTTCATATTTACTCATATCAATTTCAAAATAGTATTTTGACAAATAAATCTGCAAAATTTAGTTTGATGAATTAATGAAATGCAGATAACTAATAAATTTTTGTTTTTTCATTAATCATATAAACTGTTCTTAAAACAAAGATTTGAATTCAAAATATTATTTTTCGCAATTGCTTATTTTATTATGTAATAGAGAAATAAAAAAAGGAGATCCTTTTTGAAAAAAAAGGATGAAATGAAGTCTTGGAACTTATTTTTTTCATTTGATATTGATGTTTTCCCGCCTCCTTAACTACAAAAAAATGGGAAAATTTCAGGAGATACAATGAATAAAATGGAAGGAGGACCTCTGCCGAATTTAGCCGCTGTTTCCAATGGTGCTTTTCCACAAATGTCGATGCCCTTACCTTTGGTTCTTTATTTTATATTTGCAATTTTCAAATTTCTTTTTAAATAATAGAATAGCTTTTGATACGCGAACTGTATTTAGTTTAGTTTCAGTTTTTTTTTATTCCATTCCATGTTTTTCAATGTATTGCTTGTTATTATGTAGATCAAGCAGTTCGATCAGCAATGCAACAGTCTAAATAGGCCTTCTTTCGGACAACAAATTCCTTTTCATTCTCAGCAAGGTTTCTTTAATTTTAGAAATGAAATTTTTGAGGATAGTTGTTGATATCGAATTAAACAACCAAATTTAATTTAATTTTGAATAATTATTGGTCGCTATGAATCGATGATTTACACTTTTTGAGCTATTTTTTCAAATTATTGCTTTGGTTTATATTTAAAATATAAGGTTATAATATTCGTTTTTATTGTTTTTATTCCCATATTGTTTATGTTTTTTGTAGGTTTGGCAGCGTCAAATCAAGGAAATGTTGCACAGTTCTCTAGTGATGTTCCACCATATGTTCAGAATTCGGTTCAGCAATGCTCATTCCCAGAGAAATTGTACATGGATATCGGGTCTACAGGTCAAAATAATAGTTTTCTTTAGATCTAATGGGTTTTTTACTTTATTCTTGCCATTTTCTCAAAAATTTGGAAGTTTTATTGTTTTAGTTTATCTACCTGCCAGTTCTATGAATGCTTCCATTCCTGCTGGAGCTCATCATATGTTGCCGCCGACCAATCCACTTGTCGCATCACAAACAATTTCTCAGTTAATGCCTCACAGCTTTTCGAAAACATCAGTTTTAAATCAACCTGAAGTGATTTCGCAGAATCAATTGTATTCACAGACCCAGTCACCCTGTGGAACATCTCGTGTAATACCTGTCAATGGTCTACAGAATATGAGTATCCTTGAAGATCGGTCTGGTGCGGCACAAAAAGCATTTTTAAATGCACCTTTGCATCCATATATATCAGAAGCTCCACCATCTGTATCATCCGCACCGTCAAGCATGCCTACTATAACCTCTTATGCTTCTATGGTACATAAATCCACTCCAATTTCTGATCCATCTCCATATCCAGAAATGTCGGTGCCTGGTATGTTGGCAAGTATAGCATATCCCCCTTTAATGGCTAACATAGATAGGAGTGTGGCTAGTGGTGGTAATGGTTATAAACAAGAAATTGCTGGTACGAACATTCATGGTTCCTTATATCATGCTGGAACTGTTTCTAATATGGCTTCGCCCCAGCCTTCCTTAACCAGTTTACCACCAAGTTCTGGATTACCTTCGATGCCTCATAGCATGGGTCCACCGCAAATGAACCAGCCTTATGGTGCTAATATGCAGTCCATGAATTATTCCAGCGGAGCTCCTCCAGTGACCCCTGATATGACGGGACCAATTTCTACTGGAATACAGCACCAAAAATCTCGATTAGATCCGAATTTAATGCCCAGTTTAGTAAGTTTTTAAATAAATATGCATAAATAAATATACCTTTTTATCGAAATATTACATTCACAAATTATTTCTTCGATTTTTTTCATTTAAATTTTAAATTTTATGAATTTTTTTCCATTTTTTGGTTGCCTCGATATTTTTTTATCTCTTAGGTGCAAGTCATGGAAGAAGATCGTTCAACTAGAAGTGGTGCTTTTCCTACTGGGTATCCAAACGCAGAACATCCTCCTCTCACTTCGACTGAATTCTTTGCACAAGATCAAGGTGACTTACTTCAAATGGTTATTGCCTGCATTATTTTTATTATTATTTTTATTATAAATTTGGGAATTATTTTTTAATTTGAAGAAAGGTTTGGCTTTTGCATATTTTCTTGGTATTTAATGATATTTTTGATATTTGATCGTTCCTTCTATTTATTAACCTACTATCATTCTATTACAAAATTTTTTTTTAAATTTTTCTGTTTTTTAGGTAATTGTAATCCGAAATTTATGCGTTCATCTCTGTATATTGCTCCAGCCACATCAGATATTTTGAAACATTCTCAGATACCGTTTGTTGTTGCCATATCTCCCTTTGCACCGCTTCATCCAAATGAGGTATCCTTTAATTTTTTTAAATTTAAATTTCAGTGAATTCTTTCATTTGTATTGATTTTTTTACCTTAATTGCATATTTTCTTCTTTTTAAATAAAAAATTTTCAAGTATCGTCTTCCTGTTATCGACTGCGGTGAAATTGGGCCGATTCGATGTCATCGTTGTAAAGCATATATGTGTCCATTTATGGAATTTCAAGATGGTGGCAGAAGATTTCGCTGTTCATTCTGTTTAACATCCACAGAAGGTAGATTGAATATATTGATTGTATTTTTGATATGCGATAAGTATACAGTGATAAGTATAAGTAAACAAGCAAGGCATAAACAGTCCTAAGGTTTACGAATAAGATGTGCTCGCAAGCTAGAGTAATTGCTATAAACTAGTCGAGCGGCTGTCTGAGGCGAGGTATACCATAGTTTTTTGGAACATGAGAATGGAACATGCTTATGGACGTTGTAAGCCAAGCGATCACTCCCACGGGCTTGGAGCAATTACTCTAGCTTGCAAGCACATCTTATTCGTATATTTGGAGCAAGTCTGGCTCGAGCAAAGATATTGGATTTATCATTATGGGGTTTCGGATAAATCGGGACGAAATGGTGTAATGTTTACCATGTCTGAAACCATTCCACTGAGTGGGAATCAATAATCGATCATATGATCTGTGCGCATTTAAAAGGAAAGTTCTGCAATATTTCGGTCATCAATGTATAACTTTATGCGCAGATGATACGATAAGGGCAAATTTTACGCGGAACTTCTACTGCCAACATCTTTATCGAAATATAACATGATTAATCGAGGGAGGCTGGTCATGATGCAATTGGCAAATATGGCATCGAGATCCGGTGCACCAGTTGAGAAGCCTTCGCTTCGCCGAACAATGTGAACTTTTTGTTATTAATATATGCATCACCACGGAAGATATCTAATCACATACGATTTCCTCGAATAACCAACATTTCAACAGATTGATCAGTAGCCGTTGAAAATTCCGTACTAGATAGTTCCTATCGCGGCGTTAAAACGACCAATCTTCATGGATCATGGATTATGGATTTCTAGCCGAGATATGTATAAAACTGGCAACTAATAAGAAAGATCTGTCCTAAGATCTTTCAGCTATTTCAAATAAAAGATTGGGAGACAACGAGTGTATTTAAATCCAAATTACTGAAGTACTCCAGTAAATCTCAATGGCACCTCTGGAATGAATACATGTGTTCGAAAGTCAGGCATTTTCTAATAAGAAATGCGCTATTTGGGTATTGGAATCGAGCAGCTTGGGAACATCTTACTTCAGCCGAAAAGGCTGCTATAGCACAAATCTGTATATCTTCAATATCGGATACTCGAAGAATTACAACGACAGCAGCACGGCGGAACAGAAATCGCTATTGCAACGATATGGCTTTGAGAATAGAGAAGGCGGCTCGATTAAGTGATAATAGGAAATGTGCCTGTTAAGGTGTCTTATTAGATGGAAGGAATTTTGAAGCTACTTCAATCATGATGCGCCAGATCTTGTCCCGGATATAGCTGATTCATTCATTTAACCATACGTTTGCAATTGCAAATCGATGAATGATCCCAACAGATGAAGAAATAATCTTCTTTACCATAAGTTTAAACCCAGTAAGACCTTGGGAGAAGATAGTCTCCGGGCCGAACTTTTCAACTGTTATCTGTTGTCCTTCATAACACATCTTTAATAAATATACGTTTCTGGTATGGAAAAAAGAAATGATACCAGATGACTGAAGCAAAGTAGATCTCCTAAGATGATAGGATATGCTATGATAGCTATCGAAGACGTCTTCGGGGAAATTTTTGCTTCCCTTCTGCAGAAGACTTATGGCAGTACGAGATAGCTCTGATCAAGTTAGGTTCATACTGGGGCATTAAGGCGCCTCAAACATTGTCAACTCACCGTCACTTGTTTCATCGATTTTTCAGATTCCTTTAATTGATAGAGCGGCGCTTTGGAAGGTAGTGAAATGTAGCGGTATTCTAGAGAGGATCATCCGACTCATAAAGGCATTTTATCTGCATATATCGGCACAGGTATATGGAGAAACTGATAAATCCTTTCGAAATAAAAAGTGGTGTCCGACAAGTCTACTTGCTTTCCTCTAAATTATTCAACTTTGCAATAGACTGGATAATGGACATCGTTTGTCGACATTCAAATGTACTAATCAGTCCAGAGTATCGTACCATAAACTTTGAATACATTAATGATGTAGTCCTTTTTGCTGATAGTTATGACGAAATGTAAATAATGCTAAGCAATGTGTCGACAATTACAGCGAGAATCGAACTTAGAATTAGTGTAAATATAACGAAAATCTTTTCGTCTTATATACCATAGTATAAGCTATAAAAATGCCTATTTTTATCAGTTCATTTCCGCTTGAGAAAATGCGTGACTTTAATTATCTTGTATCCGCTCTAAAAAACCGAGCACAAGGTATGATTCGGATAATAGGAGCTAGATTGTTTCAGTTGACGAAGCCTTCATGAAGCCGTCGCGAAATCATCATAAAGATGAAAGTCCACGTCCATATCGCTCGATCTTGCTTTATAGTTAGATATGACCAGTAAAAATGGAGGATATTAAAAAGCTCTCTGTCTTTGACCACGCATTTGTTAAATATTTTGTGTCCGCTTAGCTGATAAAATCTCACATGATTGCATCCATCTCTGCTCAAATACTACCTGCATTAACAATACCATCACAGAACCTATAACCAATGTCGCTGGTTAGTGCACGTTCCTTGTCACTCACCTCTGGGATGACATATATTTCGTCACTTGTTAAACCTTACGTTGGATAATGTCAGAAGTGAGATGGTGCCAATCAAACCTGGATTGATATCAAAAAAGGTTATGAACTTATTGGGATCAAAAATATGTGGACTTAGTCGATGGAAATAGGAATGACTTCTATTATTATCAGCTATAGCAACATATCGAGCAGCTCGGGAACGCTTTGTAATCAGCGGAACCAGCCTAACCAATAATAATATGAAGATAAAAAGAAGAATTTATGTTCCTTGCTCATTTTAAATTTTTATTTTTATTCTTGTGGCTGGATTAATAATTGAAACCGTTCAGTTCACGAAGCCTACTTTGCTCATTTGGATCATACTGGACGTCGTACTGATATCTGTAATAGACCTGAGCAATTTCTGGGCTCTTACGAATTTGTTGCAACAACACATTATTGCAAGGTATTTTCTCTTTCCGAAGAACACTATTTATAATAAAGGAAAAATTGGACCATTTATAATTAAGAATATGATATAAGAATATGACAAATATAAGAAATACAGTATAAAGAATTTTCTTCATTGTGAATTTCATTTTTTGATTTATTGATGTTGCACTAATCTTATATGTTCAGATTATTTTAATTTGTTTTTTAAGAATGGAGCGATGCCTAAAGAACCCGCATTCATTTTTATGCTTGATGTATCATATTCTGCGGTTCAGTCTGGTCTGGTATCCATATTCTGTAGGAACATTCGGAGTTTGCTTAACAGTTTGCCTAGGTATTTTTGGATTTTTTGGCTTTTGTTATTTTCAGTTATTTGTAAGTAATTTTTTCGTATTAAAGGGTTAACTTTTTTCTGTTGCTTTGACTAATTTGACTAATTTATTTTATAACAACTTATAACTGGAAATATAGCGGACATTATTAATTTATAGGGAATCTGGCCAAGAAAAGTCATCAATTCGAGTAGGGTTTGCTACGTATGATCAGGCTGTTCATTTTTATAATTTGAAAAATGTAGCTGAGCAACCTGAAATGTTGGTTGTAAGTGATGTTAATGATGTCTTTGTTCCATTTGTGGATGGTTTTTTCGTTACTGTTGATGAAGCGAACAATACTATCAACAAGTGAATAAATTTTCTATAATATTTTTTAAAATTTATGAATTATTTATAGTAGATGGTTATTCTTTGAACTTTTGTAATTTCTCCGAACGTTTAAGCTTGTTAACTGAAATTGAGAAGATGTTCGCCGAAACTCGTTGTACTGAAACAATCTTGGGACCTGTTATTCAAGCAGGTTTAGATGCGTTAAAAGTAATTTTTTATTTTCATATTTCAAATTCTTGCTTTAACTTTGAGATCTTCATTGGTTACAGAAATTTCAGTGTGCTGATAGAGCTGGGAAACTATTTGTTTTCCACACTAACCTTCCTTTATTTGATGCACCTGGGAAACTTAAAAATAGAGACGATCGAAAGCTATTGGGAAGTGAGAAAGAAAAGGCTAGTATTCTTTGTTTTTGAAATATATTTTGAAAACTCTACTTGTTAACCAGCTTCAAGCTCCAATAACAAAAGATTGAGGTTCGGATTTAGATCATATTGCAACCTGGTACTGATTTCTACAGTAAATTGGCGGAGGAATGCGTTAAGAATGGGTGTGCTGTTGATCTTTTCCTGTTTCCTAACTCTTATATTGATGTTGCTTCCCTGGCACCGATTTGTGTCATAACTGGTGGTACTATGTATAAATATCATTACTTTGAAGTGAGTCGATAATATTTGTTGATTAAATTGTTGATTTTTCTGTAAATAGCAATGAAAATATTTGAACTTAATTTTTGGTTGATTCTTCATTATTTCATTTCTAGGGCCCAAAAGATGGCAGTCGATTTTTAGCTGATCTTGCGCACGATATAAGCCGCGATATTGCATTTGATGCAATGATGAGAGTACGAACTTCTACAGGTTTCATATTTTTTCATAGTTTTGTTTTCACTGATTTACTTGCCGGCTTGACTGATTTTTCTTGAACAGAATGATTTTTTTATCATTTTATATTCCATTATTTCAAACATTCCTTTTAATTTCTCATCTTCTTGTTCATTCTCACTTTTTGTAGGTCTACGAGCTACTAATTTTTGCGGCTCTTTTTACATGGATAATAGCACTGACATGGAAATGGGTGTTATAGATTCTGATAAGGTCAGTTTTTGTTTGTTGGATTTTGTTTTATGAATAGAGTGATCTTAATTCTTAAGACAAATATCCGGAAAAAAATTAGAAATTTTTCCTGCATTATTTGATTAATCAAGGGAAATTTTGAAAATTTTGAAAATTTCAAGGCCGTACATGTAGAATTACGTCATGATGATAAATTGCCGGATGGTAGTGCGTATATTCAAACAGCTATATTATTTACGACATGCAGTGGCCAACGACGTCTTCGCATCCATAATATTGCCTTAGCCGTATCTTCTGAATATAGTCACCTTTATCGCTTGGCTGATCCAGATTGTCTTGTTTCATTTTTGCTAAAACAAGGTTTTTTTCGAATAGATTTAGATAAAGAAATAACTATTTCAAAATAGATGGATGGAATTTTTCAATTTTTTATATCGAAACTCACAGCTGAATTCTTGGTGCGGGAGAAAACACCGCAAGAAATGCGCGATGCAATCACCCATCGTTGTGCTCAAATGCTAGCAACTTACCGCGAAAAGTGCAATGAGCAGGTACCCGTTGGTCAGTTGATACTTCCCGAAAGCTTAAAATTGCTTCCGTTATTTGGAAATTGTATTATAAAGAATGATGCAGTTAGTGGTGGTTGGTTATTTTTTTTATTTTAACAAGCGAATAGTTGAGAAGAATGTAATAAAGTTGTTAATTCGATTTAATTTCTTTTTCTAATATCACTTGTCAGTTCGATTGATTGGGCTGCCTGCACCTTTTAGGTGGTTTCCCAGATAGATACCATTCATAAGAGATTTGCTGGCAAATAGAAGAGATCTATTGCCCTTAGTTAGAACAATATAACAATATTAAATGCTGTTCTTTCTAATTATTCATAAAATAAGCAAAAAATTTGAAAAAAATAGATATTAGATAATAATGAATGTTGAACAAAGCATATAACATAAAGCATGAACAAATTATCATCAATGAATTGACGAAATTTTCTTCGGGATGATTGAAATCTAACCTTTCTTTTAATAAGTAGAAAAGATCTTATCAATAATATCAATAATTCTGAAGAAATTAGTGAACTTTGTGGAAGCTTATTTCAAAACCAGCTAAACATTAAGTTTATAGAAAATAAAAATTTGTTTTATTTTGTATTTCTAATTGCTAAGGTAAATGTAGGCCATCAAAAGTAGAAATGACTATAAGGTGTCAGTTAACTATTTATTCGTTAAATTTTAAGTTTTGCTAATTTATATCCAAAATTTTATTAAAAAAGTTTGAAAAAGTTTAACTAGGTAACGATATGACTGTTGATGATCGTTCATGGATGATGCAGATGATATGCTCATTACGGATCGAAGATGCTTTATTATTATTGTATCCATCCGTTTTTCCAGTGTCAGATATCGTCTTAGAACAACCTAATGATGAGGCTCGTTTATTTTTGCTATTTTTTATTTTGTTTTTAGTGCATTCCTCATAATAAATTTTAGGTAAGTATGCCGGCATATATTCGAGCATCCTTCGATAATTTTTCTCACGATAAGGCTTATATTATTTATAATGGAATTATAATGTTTTTATGGATTGGTCTTCAAGTACCTCAAACATGGATTCAAGATATCTTTAATTCCAATTCTGTTTCTCATTTGAATGTTGAAAATGTTTGTTTTGAGTTTTTTTAATTGTTTAATAAGTGAACATTCCCGATATTTTTTCTGATATTTTTTCGTCAATTAATGTTTTTTCTCGAAACTAAAATTTTTGAAGGACGATTCTATTTTGATTTAAATTATTAAATTTTTTGTGCTTATGGGTTCATATTTCAGCATATAATACCAGAAAGGGACAATACCAGTTCGCGTGGACTACGTAGAATTATCGATCGAATAAATTCTGGACGAGCTCGATATATGAAGTTATTTATTATTCGACAACAAGATGCACTTGAAGCCTGGATGAAAAAGTTCCTTGTTGAAGATCGTAGTTCGGCAATGCCTTCTTATGTCGACTTTTTGTGTAATATTCACAGAGAAATTAGAACTTTGCTAAGTTAAAAATATTTCACTATAATTTTTTTGTTTTTGGGTTATTTGTTTTTTTCTTCAGTTGCGAGATGCTGGCTGTAATATTTATATTATTGTGGCCCAGAAAGTCCCAATCTTGTTTTGTTGACTAGTATTGACGAAAAATTTTGTATATTCCTCTTTCTTATGCCATCTAATGGATTTGAGTTTTGGTGGATCTTTTTTTTCTGCTTGTTTCCTTCGGAATCTTCAGAGTCCGGCAATTTTTTTTTCCTTGCTAAGCTTTTGAAGTTATGGATCAGTTGAATTAAGATCGATAAGATAAAATAATTCGATTTTTTAACTAAAGAATAGCTTCTTTCACTTCTTTGCTGTAATATTTATAATTCAACATGGTCCATGCTTCTATTGACAATGATCAAAATCTCGAAAGTGGTCTTTTGATTAAAATCTTTTTCATATATTATATAACATATTGCATGGAAGATTAATTTATAATAGGTATTGGAAGTTTACGTTAATGCGATGTTTGTTGTAATTGCGTTATGTAAACAGTAAATCTTGACTATTTTTTTCGAATGAACGATCGCAGAAAAATTGGCGAATATGAGAATTAACTTAATAAGGACATAGGACACAAGCTAGCATTTACAACTCGATAAAAGTAATAGATGAATGAGAAATATTTTGTTTTTGTCCAAAAACTTATTGAAATCTTGTTGGATAGAAAATTAAAAATTTTGACAATAACAATGATTAAGACAAATTATAATGAAAAAATTACTATAATGCGAAATATTACCAAGCGTTAAGTGGGCACTCCAGTTATACAATAACTTGCGAACGTTGTAAAGAAAATTTGAAAAAATAGAAATCAAGAATACCTATCAAACATCAATGTAAATGATTATAATAAGCATAAAAAATTAGAAGTAGTCGTTACTTTAAGTGATATACCATTTCTAAAGAAATAAGAAATTTGAAGGTTAACACCATTTTCATTCGATATCATAAATTACTTCTTGATAAATAATTATAAAATGAGTATACAATAAGACAAAATACAAAAAAATATTAAAATGTTTAGGTAGCACTGGCACAAAAAATTAGTTATTACTTGGCACTTTCGGAACTCATCATTCATTTTTGTTACGTCGTTTATTGAGAAGTCGATTATTAGAATCTTTTAAACTTTTGATATGGATATCACCATTCCCAACGCGCATTGTTGCCAGTGTTTTTTCCATTTCATCCTGAATAATAGATTAGACTGGGTGTATTCAAAATAGAAAATCGGAAAAACATTCAGCAAGAATTACCTGCATTTCACCCCACTGCGACTGCTCTTCCTTCAGAACTGAAGCTGTAAATAGAGGCGTTTCTGGCACTTTTTGATAATGAATAATCCACTTATGGCTCATAACTTCTTGAATTGCATATCGTTCAGCTGGGTCAGTTTTAAGAAGCTTTCTGATTAAATCTTTGGCTAAAATCAATTCAATAAAATCGAACTGTGCAAAAAAAATTTGCAAAAATAAGTTTATTATTATTTTAACCAAATATTAAACAGTAAGAACTACAAAACGACAGTATCTTTACTCATAGCAAACAATGGAAAAATTCTGCAAAACAAGATCCAGGAATAAAGAAAGAAACCTGCTTCCGACACTCTATCCCATTCAGGAGAAGGGAAAGCATATTTTCCAGATCTTATTCGATTCTTCATTCCAGGAGACATTGGCAATCCATTGGCTGAGAAAAAAGGAGGAAAACCACACAGCCTAAAAAAATAATTTCTGAATAAATAAAAATATTTAAATTGAATCCGACGTTTATTATTGAAATCAGCAATGCAATAAAAACAGAAGAATGCTTAGAAAATTGACTTACAAAATGTACATTACAACTCCAATTGACCACATGTCACATGACATATCGTATTTTTCCGGCCCAAGTACCTTAATTATGTTATTTTCAACGAAATTTTGGAGAAAATTTAATTGCAAGCAACTTGATAGCGGTATTCAAAAATTTCGATAAATATTATTATGTGGCAAAACGAGATGTAGGTAAATTTGTTTAAAACAATTTAAAACAAACAAAAATCTGTGTTAAACCAAAGAGCTTTAAAAGTGAAAAGGCACAAAAGAAAAAATTTGCCATTCCCAAATACTCATTTCGAAATTTTTTTTTGAATTTTAATCCAAACTATTCAACAATAATTCATGAATAATAAATGAAAAATAGTTAGTCTTTCCACTAATCTCACAACGAATAATCTAAATTTTACAAAAAATACTCAAAAACCTAATCAAACTCATGTTATATTTTTCGCATATTGAATATTTTCAATCCATCACGCTGTAAATTTGAATTTGTACCTCCGGAGCAGCATAATAGGGTGTGTAGCACGGTGTTTCAAGAGGCCTTGTGTCTGTCGTCTCTAATTTTTTAGCAAAACCAAAATCAGTTAATTTCAAAATCCCTGAAGGCCCGTCACAACTGAAAGAATCTGATGAATAACCATTTCAATGAGTAAATGGTACTTCAAAACCATTTGCTAGCTAAGAAAAAAATTATAAAATAATAATTATAATAATTATAAAATAATATAACCATTAGAAAAATCAATTTTAACAATCATTGTAAAAAAACAGTAGATGATTCAAATTTTCTTATAGCATAACTGCACTGAAAGCAGACCTGTAAAGCAAATTTTCAGGTTTAATATCCCTATGAGCTACATTTAGCGAATGTAAGTGAGCAACTGCAGAACATATATCATTCATAATTTGTGCAGCTTCCCTTTCAGTAAATGCTGTTTGTGCTCTTTGTTGAATGCGAGTAAAAAGTTCACCACCTAAAATGTAATATTTAGAAAAAAACGAAAAAAATTAATATTTTCTTATAATTTCCCTCAATTACACAACAATTTAAAAATAAAAACAATAAAGGAAATAGTAAACCTCTCATGCACTCCATTACAACCAACAAGCATTTCACTTGATTATAGGTATTTTCATATACATCGAATATGCGAACAATATGCTTATGTTGGCAAGCAAAATAATGAAGTTCGACTTCGCGACGTGCCTTTGGAACATCTCTAAGAACCTAAACTATTCTGAATTAACCTTGGCTATTCTCACTCGAGCATTAAAAATTTGAAAATTGCAAATCAAATTATACTTTCAATTAGCTTAATAACTTTTTTCACAATATCGAATTTTCCATATAATACCAATATAAGTTAAACTGGTACGAAAAGGAAATCATAAACGATAAGTACCAAACCTTTCAATTAAATTATTATTATTATTATCATTATTACACTATATAAATATCATCCATATTAATTATATGAATATTAACCAGTATTATGTAAATATTAAATAATATTAATAAATATCAAATAAACATAATTTAAATAATAAATGTCAAACAACGCACTTTGAGAGCAAATTTTTCGCCAGTTTTTCTACTTTCACATTCAACAACTTTGCCATTTATACCGACGCCAAGCACCTGAATCATTTAATAAAAAATATTCCTGAGATCTAATCAAAATTACTGAAGAATACTCAAAATATTTCATTGAACATTTAGTTATACATAGTTATAATAAACAATCTCTTCAAGCTTGTTATAATTAATACATCTAAAAAGAAGGAAGTGATCGGATAACAAAAAAAAGAACATAAAAAGAACATAACATACTTGTCTGCTGATTCTATAGTCGATTGTTACAGAATGAGTATGAACTGGCATTTGAAATTGTAATTGTATCGATGGCCTTATATTCTAAAATGTGTTTTGCCTAAGCCTAAAATATTTGCAAAAAAAAAACTAATGAATTTACATAAAAAATTTATTAACAAATAACAAAAAAATCAAGAATTAAAAAGAAGGGAAAGAAACAAATGCAATTTTATTATAATGAAAATCTGAAATGAAAGTTTGAAAATTTTAAATGATATAATGAAAATTTTAAAAAATTTTGTTCTAATTAATACATCTAAATTTGAAAAAAAACAAAATCAAAAAATTTTAACTTTCAAGAGAGCCATAATGAATGATCTGAAGTATGTAAATAAGGAGATAAGAAAATTGTAGAGATTGTGGATTAATTTCAAAAAAATGGAATAATTTTGAATAAAGTGAAAGTAACATATGCAACAAATAAGTCCATTCGAAGACAGGAGGACAGGAGTAGTTTTTTGCGGTCAGTGCATCACAGATTCGATTACTGTTCCAACAGGAGTAAACTTACCATCAAGAGAGAAATATGGATGGGATTTCACCCATAATTCCCCAAAATATCCAATGACTAAAGAATTTCGCTAGGAGCAATCAGTGGGGGCAGTCCAACTAAGCATGATGAATGCTGCCAAGACGTGGGAGACTGAAGAAGTGAGGAAATTTCGAAAGTTCGTTCCAAGAAAAAAATTAATTAAAGATGAAATAAATGACAACTGACATCCTCGTTTTTTATTTGCTCATCCGATTTATTGCTATCAGTTTGTTGCTCTTCATCGTTCTTCATTTCCTTAACTATTGTTTCCTTATTTCCCATCAAAAACAAAACAACATAGGTCAATTTATTTGCGCGATTAGACGATCAGTTATTATTGCAGCGAATTAACTAAAAAAAGGCTCTTTAACCGTAATATTACAATAACTGCAACAAAAACAATAAAGCTATGACAACAATGACAACAGAAATTTAATCCATTCATTTATTTTAAAAAAAACTAAGCAAAGCTATGATTTTGATGTTAATAATAATAATAATAATTAATAATAATGGACAACAATATTATCAGTCATAATGGTAAGCAAAAAAATAATAATAAATAATATTAATAATAATAAAGATTAACAGCAAAAATAATAATTAAAAATAATTAATAAAGAAGACAACAGCAAATAATAATAATAATAAAAATAAAATAATCGCACACTAAGTCACTGCACACGTAACAAACGCTTAAACAACTGAATTTTAGCAATTTGCATAACTCGGACTATAAATAGTCTTCACTGGTCAAATTTTTTGAAGAGGGTTTTTCGAGGAAATATGAATGTTTTCCTAAATTGGAGGAGGAAGAGGAGGAAGTCGGAGTTTTTTGTACATCATCATGGAAATGTATTAGAAAACTGTGAATTGCATATATAGAATAGAATTTTAGTTATTTCTTTTCCGCGGTGAAATAAAACCATTAACTGTGTTAGGACAACTGTTTCAGCGATAGCTTATTAAGCGTCACGGTCGAATGTTTACCAAAGAATGTTTTTTGAGAATAAGTGTTCCGCTGCGGACCCAGTGGCACCTTTTGCCCTCAAGTGACTGATTAAAGTGCTTCTTCCTGTGGTCCACGTAATTGTTTAAAATCAACAACCAATAGCGCAAATGGTCTGAGTTGCGGAACAAAAAAAGTTAGATTGGTTATCCAGTCTTATAATTGACACTGTGCATCGTTAGTGTCCCTTAGGCCAAAGTTTCTTATAAATAACATTTCTCTTCCCAAAATTTTCATTTTTCAAAATTTTACAGCGATTTTTAATCGCATATGTATTGCTTTGGTTTTTCATATATAAATAAGCACTTATTAAGCATTATTTATCTTTTAATCGCGAACAGCGATAAATCCATCTAAAATATTCCGTAATCATGTCGTAATTTGCAAAAAGTTTGGGAAACGCACGAATGGTTAGTGAGTAAGCCGCCGCCAAGATGGTACATCCACCTCATTATTTCCTTTTTCCTATTCTCCCTACGTGTATGCACGAGAACATGCGAAAAATTTACTACATTGGCCTTATTTGCGTGAATTTTGGTGCTGAAGAAGGGAATTTTTATAGAAAATAATAAATCCATCGCGTGATAGTAGGTTTTCCCATACCGAAGGCGGGAAGCGAACTCTGAACCCCGAGACAATGGTCTAAGCAACAGCCTGGAGACGACAACCTAAGCAACAAGAACGTCGTAACGGTTGTTGAAATATTAAAAAAATAAATTAATAATTAGAAAAAAACGAAAAAATTAAAAATAACTTTGGAATATTTTCAGCTAAATTTTCAAAAATTTCCGTTTCTTATCATTTATCGACTAAAAATTCATTTATTTCTTATTCGGCTCATTCTTTAATAGTTAATATTCCCTTCAAAACAAAAAATTCCAAAAGATTATCTAAAAATTTAATTAAGGACGGCTATTATCCTGTTAAACGATTTCTCCAAAATTATCGCCGTAGTGATAAACTTCAGATGTCTAAATCTTAGGGCCATACGGATTTTTACCGATTTGATAATGACGATCGTGATGACCAATATTTCTCTAATTAATCAATTGTCATTAATAATTGCGATTAAAATTATTTTTAAATATAAACAAAACAATAACAAATTTATGGCGCATTTTAATACATTTTAGTATGGCGCATAAAATATATTCGGTAAAGTGGAAATCAATTTACATTTACATTTACAATTACAATGAATAGCAAAAAAAACGATCGAAAAAAGTGAAACAATTTTTTTGCGAGGAATGTTTATTTCTGGTTTTCGGTGAAATTTAAAGGAAATTCCTTTAATTAGAATTCGCATGAAGGAAATAATTTCTGGATTGTTCAGTGAAGAAAATAACATTATTTAAACCAAACAAATAATTATTATCTATTGAATTGTTTGCTGGAAATACATGAGAAAAATCAATTAATTTAACGCGAAATCTACGGGAATATTTCGGTGACGCTTCATAAATTAAAAGTACCGACGACGCATATAAATGATAAATCTGAAATTTTTTAAAATATAAAATGCAAAAAAAAACAAAAAAATTTGAAGGAGCACGACGGATCGGCAAAAGGCGTAGGTTTACTGCGATCCGCGATAAGCATCTAGGTTCAATTCATGACCATAACAGTAAACTTGTCATTAAAAAATCTGCCAACCGGAGCGACTTAGCCTGCATTTCTATCACCCAGTGATTCCCAGATCTTTAACCGTACTAAGAGCAAAGGAATTAGCTCGATAAGAAATCATGAAAACTACCATTTTTACTTTAAAATTAAAAATAAAATAATAGAAGAAATTCATTCGGTGTTATGAAAGATAGCCGTATGCTATCCATTTATATTATTTTTGGAAAAAATTGGGAAATAAAAAAAGCAAACCAACCGTTTGCTTTTGAAACCAGTTACGAATAGAATATAACTGTGAAAGCATATCACTGGCGAGTTCAATTTCTTCATCTTTTCGACCCGAAAAGAATTCGCTAAATGCTGAAATTCCAGTAAAAAAAGATTAAAACAGAAAAAATAAATTATGGAAATAAAAAACGGAAATCATCAAGAACAGTACGAAGAGGGCCGTAAACTGCTTGGACTAAAGCCAAACCATTACAAAATGTTTGATTCCAATTTGCTATCACTTAAAGTGAAGTCTGAGTGACCTAGCAGTTTTTGAAGCAGTTTTTGTCCAAGTTTAATACTATTTCCCCTAAATAAAGAAGAGAAATTCCGCTATTTTCCCTTCTTTTTGACAATAAAAGTTTTTTTTATTTCTCTCATTACGGTCAACAGATAACAATCGAATTTTTATCAAATTTACTTTTAAACTCTTCGAGTATTTTATGAATGAATAAATGTGAATGAATGGAAAGTCGTAAAAGCATTCTTCCAGTGCTGTGTAATAGTTAAATAGTAAAATTAACTAATTCTCAAGCAAATACTATTATTATTTATCAAATAAAGTCAGTAAATTTTCATTAAATAATTATGGTAGTAATAGCGTTTATCGTTGTCATTAAAACTTCCATCAAATTATTACTTTTAGTGTTATTTGATTGAAAAAATAAATTAATAAAATTTATGGATAATTTAGAATAATGAAAAAAAATTCAGCATAGAAACTATTTAAATTGTTTAAAAATTATTTGATATCGGTAAAAGTCATTAAAAAATTTGTAAATAATATCAGAAAAAAGAATTCGAATGAACTTGTTGCTGATCCAAGCTTTTCAGGAAGAAAAGACCGACTTAAATTATCCCTTTTATTCAATAAAACAATCAAGCTGATCTCTAGAAAATTTAGAAAACTATAAAGCAGAAAAAATTTTGAAGATTTAAATTTAGAAAATGTGAAGGAAAATAATGAACGAGTGATACACTGCTTTGACTAGGGTTCACACTGTTCTTCGATTCTTATCCGTTGACGGTGATAAACCTACAATTAAAAGTGGAAAAATAAAAGGATGATGCTGGTATCTCCTCTAAACTTTAATCATCACTCTTAGCAAGCGAGAATCATCCAAATATTCAGTGCAAAAAATTGCCAGAACCAGAAATGCTATTAGACTATTGGAAGATTTTTTAAAAGCCTTAAAAAATTATGAAAAAACGAACCATTAACAATATTCTGCAAGGTTCTTGAACGACCCCATAATTTGTCACGAATTTTTGGCTTTTTCGTTCCACTTGGACAATGCATCTAAAATATTTATCGAACAATTAAGTTAAATATACAATAAGCTGAAAGCTCTTATAAATGAACCATAAAAGTACAATGCAATAAGAATTTTCTCCCTTTAATAATCATTTTTTACAATATTCTTATAATAAATGAAATAAAATTATGAAATAAATGAAATAAAATTACTATACAAAAAAAAGTTTCTTTGAAAAATACTTACGCTTATGGCACTAAAATCGAAGGGATTATCCCTTAATTAAATGGCGGTTCTATTCATTAAAAAAAGAAATACTATAATTATTTCAAATTATTATTGTTATCGATGCCAGAAAAATTAGAAGAAAAATTTGCAAGTCGAATTAAATAACTTTATCGTAAATTTTCTTAAAATGACGAATTAATTACCAATTACCAATAAATAAATTACCAATATTAAATTTTAATTTAGAAACATAATTGAAAATTTATTTTCTTAAAATACAAATACATTTTAGTACTAATAAACTTCCATCAAATCATTTGAGAAATGCCACTTTATAATTTGAATAAATTCCGAATTCTAATAGTTCCCAGAAGTTTGGATATGTAGTACCTGTCCAAGAATCTGGATATTCTGGCGATTCACCCCTACTTCTGTCAACAACTCTCCGGACTCCCTAACATATTCGTCTAGGCTGTAGGCATATTCGACGAGCCAGAGAAACGAGTCTAATCAGTAAATCAGTAAAAGTGAGTGCCTTTTTAAAAAAAAAGTTGTTGGGAATTCGCTTTTTCATCTTCGCAGAAAAACGAATGAAGTTTAACCAAAAGAAAGAATTTATAATGGTCAGTTTGATGACTTAACTGGAAAAAAGACAGACACGATTTGTGGGTAACAAGTGCTTTATAAAGAGGGATAACGCACAGCTTTAATATACCCGATAGCCTAAGAGACGAAATCCAAGCTTCTCCTGTTCCGGATATTTTATTGCTTCAGAATGTTTTTTGGCTTCTGTTGCATTCGGATCGTATGTCACTTTACCCATTTTTATATCCATTATGCATGGTGATATATATGTGTGGGCAAGATCCTCCATAACGATACATTTAACCTCTGAAATAAAGAAATATAAAATCACTGAAAAATTGCATCTCGATCAAGAACTCTTATATGATTATATAGCCGTCAATTGATTTTTTATGGTTCAGTTAGCTCATATGATATTCATACCGTTTTACTGATCAATAGCAAATTTAAAGCATCTGTTACCAAATTATCATTAATTTCAAACTTTAAAAAATTTCATTATCAGCATATGATCAGAGAACTAGTTTAAACACGAAAAATTTGTAAAAGTACTAAACAGCTGAAAATATTCGAAAACCAGAATTTTCGATTTTCGAAGTTTTTTTAATTTAGTAGGTACCTTCTAAACCTTCCAAAATAATCTAAAAAATATATTACTTTCTTTGAAGCATCTTTTTAACTGAATAATAATATTGAATAATCAATAAAAAATATAACCTCTAACTTCACCAGCTGCTTTAACTTCAATTGTTTTTAAACCGTAGTACTGTGGTATAAATGATCGAAATTCAGCTAAAATTTCCCGATTTACAGTATCAACTTCATCACATTTCCTATTGACTCGTTCATAAACAGCTACCTGAATTATAAAAGTTGCTAAAATAAATCAAAATCAAAAGATCTGAGCAAAGCAATATTAAGCCGCACTGAATACTAATCAACTAATTCGATGAAAGGTTCAACGAGAATTTCCCTAAATATGCCACTCATCCTAGGCGATCCTAAGAATCATAACGCTGTAATATATTCTAAAATATTCTTGAATAAAATATTCTTCTTCTTCTAACAGCTCTCATTATTATGGTTAGGCTGGCTGCAACGGCTACAAGAGTAAGAATAAGAGTAAGATGCTTCCAAGCGGCTCGATCTGATGATATCAGCAACATAAATGGAAGTCATTCCTTTTTCCATCGTCTAAGTCCATATATTGCTTGTCCACCTATACGTCCAAAATGTTTTCTGACCATATCAATCCAGGTCTTGATTGGCCCACCTCGCTTTTGACGCCAACCATTACATGATTTAGCAAATTATGAAATATGCATCAACTCCTGTGGTGGAGGACGGAGAAGTGCCCTAACCAGCGAAGGCCACAACGCGCTGTGGTAACATTATTAACCTCAGTCCTATTCTTGCTGCAGTTTCTGACACGTTATTTAGCATTACTTGCATTTCGTTCATAACTGTCAACAGAAAGGACAACATCATCAGCGTATTCAAGACCAAGATCTGTGATACGATGCTTTGGACTGAATTGGACATCCCTTGAATGCCAAGAGGTGTCCATTCCCCAGTCTATCGCATAGTTGAATATTGTAAGGGAAAGGACACAATCTTGACGGACACCAGTTCTTATTTCGAAGGAGTCTATCAGTTCCTCATATACACAGATTTGTGCCGACGTATGCTCATAAAATGCTTTTGTGAGTCGAATGATTTTCTCTGGAACACCGTTGCATTCCATCACCCTCCGAAGCGCCTCTCTATTAATTCAATCAAAGACAGCCGCAAAGTCGATGAAACACGAAAAGTGCAAATATCTGAAGCGATATTCCAACACCCTTCTTCACGTGAATATTTGGTCAGCATAACCGCGCTCCGGTTGAATAAAATATACCGAACACTTCTTCTCGAAGGTTAAAATCATTAATATTTATGAAATAAGAAATAATTGTTAGGATCGCAATATTTTCGAGAACAACGGTCGTCGCTATGCATTGAGCCCATTAAATAATCACTTGCTTTATCTCTTTTTACTTTTTTTGTTTATTCATCGCTGATATTGTTAGCCGAATTATCCTTAGTTAACAAATAATAAATTTATAGTAAAAAGGTATAACTGTGTCCAATGCTTATGACTTTTCGCTCGATAATTTTATTACGAAATATGAAATAAATTTATTTATTTCATATATACTACTATACATTTTTACTGATATTTTTACTTATATTTACCCGTTGAATTGATAAGCTAATTCTTTTATTAAAGATTATTCCTCTCCTCTCGAAATTTTACGAGCCGATAAGTAAATAATTACAAAGGTAAAGTAAAGGAAATAACCTCAGTTTGACCTCGAATCCCTTCCTGTAGAGGTTTCAGCAAAACATCACTTCCACATTGCTTTATGAAACCTGTAATAATAAAATTTTCCATAAATTTTTTTCATCACCTTTTTAATATTTAATTAATATAATAAACAATTAATGCTAGTTATTGTAAAAAAAAAAAAAAAAAAATTATTAGTTACTAGTAAAACATTTGCTGGAAGCAAAAGCCATATTTTTGCCTCTTAACACAATCATTTGAACAACTATCTGATTTCCATTTGGAGACTATGTTATTTAAAGATTACGAAGGGGTTGAATGAATTATATATATTCCGTTGAATGAATTATATATATATATATATATATATATATTCCGAGGTTACTTTCCAGTTAACTGGGCAGCATTAACCTAAGAAGATTATAATAGACATGCAACAAACAAAACGAAGTATCAATTACTTTTTTTGTTATTATATTATCAAAGAAGATAAAATCATCGGTGGTAGCACGATGATAGAGATGATAAAATGATAAAACATGCAAAATGAAAATGAAATAAAAAAAAATGAAAAAAGGACGTGAAGACTCTTCACTGCCATTGGTGCTATCTTTACCGCGGCCCAGATAACCGCAAAGTATTTCATTATTAAAAAAAAACCAAGTTCACGTCGTCCATTCTTGATAACAGATGGATGATGACCAGCAATTTGCTCGCAGTACCATTCATATTCATTCGGTAATATTGTTTGTTCCACTTCCATTCCTTCAAATTTTTGTGGTAAATAATTTGCTTCATTTCATATATTAATGCCCAAAGGTAAAATTTTCGGCAACTTCATCAGTTTTGTCTCAGATAATAGCTTCATTTTAAAGAGCGTGCGCATGCATATCGGGAAATAATAAAGCAACAGAGTTACGAAATTTAAACCTCTCATTTCAAAAATTTCTCACATCCCTCGAACCTATAATATTTTATATACAAATTGTTGCCCAACGTTTCGTTAAATCTTTTCGCCATAATTCACAGACAAGAACATCTGCAATGAATTTCGAGATGTCAAGGGACATAACCGGTTTGAAGACAGTTCTGCTCGTCGATTTCCTAATATTCACAATAAATAAAATTTCTAACATCGCTGATTTTTAGGAAATAACATCAAAATTAATGCCTCCAAATCAAAATTTATTCCCTATCACAAACTAAATTTTGATGAATTTTATTAAATTTCCCATTTCTTATTGTTAACCTCCTTCAAATCGATTAATAATTTTTATATGCAGTAAAACTAATACATAAAACATAAATAAATAGTCCTAATTAATGCAAAATGCAAAATATGGAGAACGCAAAGCCTAAACTTTCATTAATTATCGGCATCTCCACACGACTGAAATTCGCTCTCTACCTTTTGAATAACTCAACTAGCTATTAGGATGAGATTCCTTTCCGAAGTCATTTGGATATGACGGTGCAGGCGAAACGACGGTTACCAGCGGGTTCGCTTAAATATCAGAATTTTCTCATGGATTTGTTCAAAAATCAAATAATTCCCCAACATCATTTGCAAATTCTTTTTTTCTCATCAACTTTTCTACGCGATGTGACCCAAAATACTCTAAATAAGATCAGATAACCTTCAAGATATCTGTCTATCATAAAGGATTACGCAAATATTACGCTATAACCAAAAAGCCGTCAACCTAATAATCATCTCTCGCTTAACATCACGAAAGGTTCAATCTTTGGCAATTAATTCGTCCAAACCTATCATTTCATTATCAAATCTCTTTCTTTCTTTAACTGAGCATTATTTCGAATAACTTAAAAGCTTTAATTTGTTGAAATCGAAAAATCAAAAACTTCCAAACTTAGTAAATTAGTACCACTGGTCGAATTTAAATTCAACTGTAATTTTACCATTAACTAATTATCACAAATTTACTGCTCTTTAAAAATCCGATTCACATATATCAGGAATGTTATTTAATACAGCGTTGATGTCTAAATATATTTTTTTGCAAAATATAACCATAAATTATATAACCATTTTAAATATATGTTACAACGCCAATATCCAAATTTCTATGCCAGATGGCCGATAAAAAGTTCTTTTGAATGCGAAAAAACTGTTTTTGATAATAAATATCCATTAGATTTCCACCAAAATTGCAAATATAAACGAGTTCCAATTATATAAAATTTAATTCAAAAACAACTCAAAAACAATAAAAAATAATTGAAATTGCAATATTATGAAATGAACAAATTCAAATCGAAAAAATAAGAAAAATAAGAAAAATTTACAAAAATTTTTTGCCGAGATTTATTTGTTTTCCTTTTTTATATAAACCAAGTTCATCTAAACAAATCTCAGTCGTGTAATGATTTCAAATATAAATACAAATGTAAAAATTATTTACCTAAAAAAATAGGCGTTTCAAAAGAGATATTCGACTTTGGTTTCAAATTTTAAAAAATTTCCTTAAAAATGAAAATAAAGTCTTAAAATTTTTCAAACAAAGTTTAATTCAATGTTAATCAGAAATATTTTTGCGAATTTTTCGATCGCTTTATCTAAATTTCGAATTTTTATGGAATTTTATATTACCAAATCCAAATATTAATAAAATCATAAAAAAAATTTAAAAAATCACCAGCAAATTTTTAAATTATTCCTTATTCGTTTCTCCTCTTTCTTTCCCCTCTCCTTAAATCGGTTCCATCACTGTGCTACTTCCTCGCTAAAAAATTGCATAATTGCACTAATCCCTCGTCTATATTCTCATCGATGAAAACTACAAAGTTTGTTTGTTGCAATTAATTATTTTAGAAACAGAAACAGAAAACTTTGTAAATAAACCAATAATTAGGACAATTTCACTTTTTTTTTATCAATAAAAAATATTACTGTAAAATATAAAACTTACTGCAAAATAAAAACCTTCTTGAAAGTAATAATAATAATATTCGTTTTTAATCCCCTTCATCAATTCTAATTATAACAGCTGAATTAAAATTTGCCAAATTAAACATTCGAAATATGAAGTGCTGACGGCAAAGATTTCTCAAGATCACTAATTTCTTCAAACTTAGTCTTATCATTTTTACTACTGGCGCTGATATTGATGTACGTGTGATCATTACTTTTTCTGTGATTATCATTAGCTAATGATGACGAACTATTCGATCGTTCCCTAGAATTTTCAGTAACAAGTGGTGAAAGGGAATAAGCTGAATCTGAACCTCGAAGAACTGAACCTGTTGGAACTAAATTATCTATAGAACCTGACAATCGTTTATTTAAAGGAGTTGAATTTGTCATATCATTAGTGATAAATTTTCGATCGTGTCGCTTTGCTGACCGTTGTTTTATATGTTTTCCTTTAAAAGCATCGTTGAAAAATGGTAAACGTTCTAGTGGGTCAACTGGACCATAATTCAAACATTCCGAACTACTTGACATATACCGTTCATCACCATAGCGACGATATTTCATTCGATATCGCTTCCTTAATGCATCATCCCAAAAATTATCCGCAAATGCACAAAATCTAAAATATATTTACTTGAACTATTTGCAAAGCAACAAATTTCCAATATTATGAAAAAATGTGGAAACCAGTAAAAATGGAAATGAAACAAAAATGTGTTAGATTGAAAAGAAACTAAAAGTTTTAATATTAGAAACTACTCAAATCATAGCTTTCGAGCTCGAACTCGGCCTTCGGCAGTTATGAATTTGTCAGAGCGACGATACTGGCGAAACGCAGATGAAATTAAAGTACAAGTAAGGCCGAAAACTCTGTGTCCTATTAGATCGATAAACAATGGTTTTTCCGGAAATTTTCGGAATTTAAATGGGAGTTATTTAAATATCATTAAATATTAAATATTTAAATGGTACAAAAACAAAAAATATTTGACAAAAAATATTTTAAATTAATTTGTTAAAAATAATTAAATTAAGTCGCAAAAGAAAAAGGAAATATTGTAAATTTTTCTGAGTTGTTTTCTTTGTATTGGAATAAAGGAATAATGAAAAATGACAATAATTTTCAAAAATTTAACGGGGAAATAATCAAAACATTGCGCAAACAGCACCAAAAAAAATCACTTCAAATCAAAATTCAAGGAAAAAAGTAAGAAAAGCTGAGTGTTAGATAAATACAAGCTGCAAAATCACAATTTGCAGATCGGCTAGAGAAGCGTTTAGAGCATTACCTATGAGTCGTTGGAACTGATTTGTCTTTAAAAAATTTGTCATTTATATTAATCGTATTTGCATTACATATCCATTCAGGTGGAGGGAATTGGACTGAAAATGTTAACGGTTCTTTTTTCATTTGTTTCGTTGACTGGCATTCTTTTTTGTTGAAAAAACGGGCTAATAAACCTGAAATTCTTTAAAATTCTCCTCCATATTATATTAAATAATATTTGCAGTAATATTGGTGATAACAGTTAAATATTATTAATAGTCGCTGATACTTAGTAATACTAACAGGAAAAATACTAAAAATAATGATGAAAGAGTAAAGTAAGAAAAAGTAATGATTTACTAAGAAGTGGGAAAATAAATAAATTAATAAATTGTAAAATAGATCAACGCAGATTTTGAAAGTGGAATTAGAATGTAGTTAATAGGAATTTAAAAAAACATTTTAATATTTCAAAATGCAATAATACTTATATTCTCTAAGGAATTTGGTTTATGACAAATATTATGAATATTAATAGAAGTGAGTGAGTGCTCTCGGATCATCGCTAAAGAGATCTACGTGCCTTTCCTTTCTCGCTATTCATGCGTGCATTCATTCTTCTTCTTATTATTTCCTCACTCTGGCGAAGCCACTTGTAAATGTATCCCAAAGAGGTTCTCTGATGTGAGTAGAAACAATCGAACCAGTAGTGGTGAGTGCTCATAAAGGAGCACGGAATAATTCACTTAATATCAGTAAAGGATTTCATATCCTCTCACATCGTTCTACACTAATGATGCCTTAAATAGACTTAAGCCGTCCATTTCAGCTGGTCCCGATAACATTCCACAAATAATTTATAAAAAATTCGCAGTCTCTCTGAGTCTTCCCCTATTTTTAATTTATAAAGATATTATGAAGTCTGGCCTTAATCCCAAAATTTGGAAATTGTCCCATATAGTTCCCATTCATAAAAAAGGAAGCACCTATGACGCTTCTAATTATAGACCTATTAGCCTAACATGTGTTGGTAGCAAGGTACTTGAAAGGTTGATTTGCAACAAATTGCTTACTTATCTTGATGCCAATAATTTTATATCTTCTTATCAACATGGCTTTTGTACAAAAAAATCTACTTCTTCACAAATATTGGCAAATCTCTCTGATTGGTCAGCATCAATTGACAATGGAAAAATAGTATCAGTTGTGTACCTAGATTTGGCTAAGGCTTTTGATACTGTTTCCCATAGCAAATTATTGGTCACTCTTAATAGTTATGGCATAACAGGGGACCTCTATAACTGGGTTTCAGATTACATAAAAGATCGTTACCAGGCTGTATATGTTAACAACACTCTTTCTGACATGACACCTGTTAAATCAGGCGTTCCCCAAGGCAGTTGTATTGCGCCATTGCTATTTCTATTATATATAAATGATATCACCACAGTGGTAATAAATTCTACTATTTATCTTTATGCTGATGACTGTAAAATTTATTATTCTCATGGTAGAACGGATAGCCTATCTCCACTGCAGGAGGACCTCAACAGAATAGCTGACTGGCTATACGACAGGCAAATTACCCTTTCCTTTCAAAAATGTAGCGTTCTTCACATCAACTCTAAAGGATTTGATCTTCCTAACCTTTTTATAAATGGTAATTTAATCAATAGAGTCTCACACATCTCCGATCTTGGAATAATCATGGATGAAAATCTCGATTTCGATCTTCACTGCAGAACCATAGTAAAGAAATCCTCAAAGATACTAAATTTTATTTTTCGTTCGTTTAAGAACAAAACTGAAAGTTTTCTTATCAAATTATACAAAGCATTCGTTCGGCCTCTTCTTGACTACAATACTATATGTTACTCCCCTAGACATCGCAAAACAGGCAAAATAATCGAAGGACTCCAAAAATATTTTCTAAGACGCCTCTCTCCTAATAAAAATTATAATTTTAATTATAAAAGAACACTTCTACAACATAACATGGATTCTCTCTCAGTTCGTAGAATTAAACAAGATTTAATTTACACATATAAGATTCTGTATGGTTATGTTAAACTAGATTGCTCGAAATATTATAACTTTAGACTAAATTTGAATCCAACAAGAACTAATGGCTTAAAATTACTAAAACCTATATGCAAAACTAAGGACTCATGACTTCTTTATTCGTACTAATAACTACTGGAACGAAATTACCGAACGATGTAGCTTGTGCGTCATCCTTAGCTGTCTTTAAAAAAGACTAGATAATATCATTTACGATATTTAAAAAAAAAAAAAAGAGAAGAGTTTACACCAGGCAAGAACTGCAGGAAGTGAGAGATCTCGATTTTATCTTCAGGTTATATATGTTACCTCGAATTGTACTATATTATATTGATCTGTAATTTCCTCTTTAAATTGTTAATTTCTGTCATATTGTTTTATAATTAATTTTGTTTATGTTATATATTTTTTTTTTTGTTTTGTGTTTTCTTTTTCTGTTATCTTAATTGTTATTATTAATACAAGCACATGGCCTTGTCGCCCTGCTTAGTTGGTTATCAATAAATAAATAAATAAATTATTACACTGTCCTCTTTTCAATAATTTGCAATCATTTTTTTGTATCTCTTTATCTACAACCTTATGCATCTACACATCCTCCGCCTCAATCTTTCTTCATTGTCAACTGAAGATCACAGTGGTAATAAAGTAGGTGAAATATCCAGTAAAAGATAATAAAATGAACCTTTTTTATTTTTCGAGATATTGTTCGATCGTTTGTGATGAAATAATGAAGTGTGAATTGGTGCATCAACAATACTGCTACCCGTTTGGCATTGTTTCGTTGATTTCAATGGTGTATTTCCAGTTTTCGTCGTCGTATGATATGGATTCGAAATGGGCACCGATACAAAAAAATGTTCTCCCATGCAATATATAAGGCCACTTTCAAGTAATTTATTTATTGTTTGTCGTAAAATTTCAATCGTTGGTTTTGCTATCGGAGGACATTCTTTAAAAATCATATTTTGCAATGAATTTATTGTTGCTGGTAAGCCAAGGCGATTTAATTTCCCTATTTCATTGCATAGTATATCAGCAAGTGGCACAAATTCCATTTGTTCGACTTCATGAAGCTGAATTCCTCCAACATCACCTGCAATGATTCATTCATAACATTCATAATGCTGTCTCTTAACACTAAATACTTGGCACTCAGAGAATAGACTCGCATAGGAATAAAATAGGTTCCAGCTTCAACTTAACTTAATTTTTAATGATTGGTTTACTTGTAAATGATAAGATTTTTATAATGATTGATTCAACTTTAGTCAAAGCAAAATCTTGAATTAATTATAAATTTATTTAAGCTTGCATATTTTGCAAATTTATAATACTCTTAAATATTTTCATTTATATTACCATTATTATTCACAAAAAATTTGAAATCAAAGAAGTGCCTCAATTGCTACTTTTATAAATTCTAGAAACACATCAAGTGACCAAGTACCGCGATTAATGATTTTATATGTTAGTGGAGGGAAAATAAAAATCAAGTAATACTATCGAGTAATACTAGATGCACCTGTAGTTATATGTATTTGCGCAATTGGTGTCTAACTAGGCAGCGCTTCTTTTCTTTTCACCAGATTTTTCAAATCTGGCCCCATATGTGTTCAACAATTTTTCTTTGTCTCATATTTCGTTTGAACAGGTGTCATCGTCCATAAAACTACCAAATTTCCATCATTTGATGATTATTCACTCGACCAGTCGCAAACATTTTTTTTTTAATTTCGTTTTTTCATCGACTTTTTGATAAATTTGATGAATAAGTAAATAAATAATGAAACCAAAAAAATGTTTTGAAATGGAAAGAGTAAATGTTTTTTAAAAGTTCAAAAAAATTTTTTTTGGAGAGTTTAATTCCACAAATTTGATATTCCAGAAAATAATCCAGAAAAGAAGGGTATTTAAAACAATCTTTTCTAAGGATTTTCCAATAATTTTGTGTATTTTTTTCGAGTATCTATATCGGTTTTTCTGCAAAAAAAATCGCGAATCATTAGTTATCGATTCTTGAGAATTCATTTTTTCACTCTTAAATAACAATTCAAACGGCTCTTATAAGATTTTTTAAAATTGAAAGAATATTTTTGTTTTTAGCCTCAATTTGATAATACTTTTCTTTATAAAATTTTTCACTTCAATAACAAATGAATAAATGAATATTTTTTAAATGGTTTATCTCGATTTATACAAAAAGTGTTCGGTTTGGGTTATTAAATTAAGATTTCCAATTGGATTTGCGAAATCCTTTGAATTTACTGCTGTTTTTAGGATACTCAACCGATCATAGTGGATTGTCAGGTTAATTTTTATCTTTATTTCGTATTGAAAACATTAAATATCAATAATATAAAGTCTTTTAGAATCGCGTCCAAGCGCATTATTGAAATAGCTGTTAACATATGCTCATTCATCAAATATATGGTCTTATTAATGTCTCATCGAACTTCAGAATTGATGATATATAAATTCTCATTTGGGGACTTTTATTTTATACTAAGAAAATTTCTTAATAGTAATCTAAATTAAATAAAAATCGCTTAAAACGTTAAAAGAGTTAATGTTCAAAAGGCATTCCAACCCTAAAATTTTGCATACAGTGAATAAATGAAATATAAAAAAGAACCAAGCGAAATTATAGCAAATCCTTTCGCAGGTTTCAATAAACGCCTTGACCATGCTAAACGAAGAATTCGTAGATATCGTTCTTGTGATGACGAAACAAATAACGTTGATGGTTTAATAAAGCCAACATAATCCAAATTATTTACCGATTCAACTAATTCGAAATTCCAGAAACACAGGCGATTCTCCTGAAATCGTTTAAAATTCAGTTCAAGTTTAAGCAGACAGACAGAACCTCCTAATTCCAATCGTTAATATAAAAATGAACTAGCCATTGCATTCTAACTGCTAACATCACAACCATATAACCATATATATTTGCGAAAAGAAGGTCAGATTTGGCATTTGGCATAAAAATCGGAAAATCGAATCGGAAAAATCGAAAAATCGGACTGAGTATTAAAAGCAAAAGTGTTATTAATCGCAGGTAATTTTCAAAAGCAGAATCTGCTTCACATACCTCAATAAAACTTTCGAATATCCGATGTCCACTCATTCTTTTAGAAGTGATTTTTCGGAAAATTATTCCTAGGCAAGGATTTGACATTTTGTACGACATCTGAACAAATCGCATAAAAAGTGTTCTCATTTGACAATGATGACAATTTAAAAAAACAAAAATAATAGCGACAATAACAATAGAAATAACAACAAATAAATAAAATTTCTTAACTTGGAAACAGAAATAAACGAAATTCAACATGAAAGAGCATTAGTGAATTTCAATTAGATCGAATAAAATTTAAAATTATTTTAGAAATTTCTTTAGCAAATATTTGCAATTTGCAAAGTGCAAAATTCCTCTTCCTCCTTCCTCGATAATATTTTATAAAAAAATTAATGCATTGTAACTACTTCAAATTTAAAAAAATTTAAATAATTGCAATTTTTAAGAGGTAATTCAAACCGATTTAAAGCATAAGAGATAATTAGCAATTAGAGCGCATATATGCGAACACAACATTAGTTTTATGTGTCGTTTCCTCCGTTCGACACTTAGCATACCGTAAGCCAAAAACAATTAACACCATAAAACTAAAAGTATCGCAAAAAAACAATTTGTCTTTTATAGTATAGCAAATGCCACGTTGAACGGTGACGGGAACAATGAACTCAACGAAAATTTAGTAGGCCGAATGGCGCTCTTTACAGTACTTTTTACCAATTATTATTAACTTTCACCGGCATAGAAAAATTTTTTGAAACTTATTCTCTCGAATTACTCCTTAAATTTATTCGTTGACAAATGATCAAAAAGCTTTTGACAATATATTATTCGAAATATCAGTGCCGCCGGTCGCAATGGTGCAAAGAAGTAAGCAACGACGGAATTTCTTATACAATATTTAGCAATTATAGAGAACTCATTGCAAAATAATAGAAATGAGTAAAAAGAAAAAATCGAAAGCATAATTTAAAAAATGAAGACGATTATGCTATGAAATGAACAGATGGGAGAAAGATGAAAATCCCCTAAGGAGTAAATATAAATAAGCCAATCGTTTGAAGGTGGCTAAGTCTAATTCTCGCCAATCTCCACAAAAGAAGACACAAAAGATTATAGGTAAATGAAATGAATGTAGTTAAATGAATGCCTAAGGCTCCGGAAGCTTCAAACTTTCTGTAAAGTTAAAGCGTTCAATCTCTCTTACCATCAACCACTTCTTTCATTTTGCAGAGGCATTCAATATTCGCGGTTTGGCTGGCACTATTGAGTAACGCTTCACCAGAGAGCCACTTGCGAAAAAACGAACTGCCAGCATAATCGAGAAAGCGAATGAAATATAAATGCCATCCAACATAATCAACGGAAACAATGAGAATAAAGCCAAGCTTTTGAAAATTTTCAAAAGAAAGAGGGATTAGCGTCGAAGGTAAAATTATAAAAAAGGGATACAATGAATGAATAAGAATGGAGATGCGTGAAACAAAACATCAATTAATGACCATCGTCGTCATATAGAATCCATTCTATCCATTCCATCCATCCGTCCATATATTCATGCAACCATCCAATCTATCTTTGGGCGTATTTCTATATAAAGAAATGTCCAACCCATCAACGGGATCTTATAAATCCAACAAAGATCATCATCACCTCTTTCCATTAATATCTTATTTGATAGATAAATAAAAAGTATGGAGATTTTTAAAAAACTCTATGTAAACTAACGAAACTTTAAAAAAAAAACAACTTGAATATTTTGAAAATATTATTGCAAACCGAAAATTTAACAGTTTTTTCAATTTATAGCACTATTCCTGGTTTGATTGGATTCAATGTTTATTAAGATCAGAGCCCTTCGCCCAGCGGGAACCCAGTCATTTATATTGAATCTGTTCAAATTTCATTTTATTTGCAGATTTCTCGCTTATCAAAAGATAGGAGTCGAACTCAGATGACCTCACAGCACTCAATTATCCTCTCCATACTGGAGATTCATTTTTATTGTTTCCACAAAATTTTCGTCATCTTCAGTAAACAATCAAAATGAAAAATTTAACATACAATCGAAAAGATCATGAAATTTTTAAAAGTTTGACTAGATACAGTTTAAATTAGATCATTTAGATAAATTAAATTAATATTAACATGTTGGGAGGCGATGGTCCAGTCTTTGTCGGTGAAATTTACCATTAAACAATCTGGTGATGTTAGCCTAATCTGCACTTAGAGACCAACCTAATTGCCAAACAATTCTCTGCAAAAAATCAGACTGCTAATGAAGAAAGGGGAGAGCGTAAAATCACTTATCACTTATTTTTATCATTTTTGTTAGCAAATAATAGGCACAATGAAAAATAGTTGATGGAATAGTTGAAATTCATTCGTGATCTGATATAATATAAAATAATATAATGATACAGTATTAAATAATAGAGAATAATATAAAATAATGCAGTATTGCTATGATCAAACTGATCTATTCATGGAAGGATGTCAGGTATTCTGGACTTTTTATATTATATTCAACACACATAATAAAAAAATCCATTTCCCACCTCCTTTGAGTGGTATAAATCATCGCCAACATTGCGCCCTCTAGCAGAGTCTTAGGAACTTTAGGGTTCTGCGTCGTATCTTAGTAGAAGAGAACCTTTCTGGGTAGAGATATATGATGTTTTCCTGGAATCTAACTAGGATTACTTTGGGTTTCACTTCCCACATCTTGTCTAGCTCCTCTTTCAGCTCACGATGTTCCTCTAACTTCTCTAACTTCTCATATTCCTTCTTCCTGTCGTTCCTATTTGCTCTATCTATCAGTACTGATTTCTGACTCTTATCTACTACGATATCTGGTTGATTGATTACTACTTGCTTATCTTCTTGGGTTTGTTTGGAGAAGTCCCACAGGATCTTCTCCTTATTACTCTCGACGATTTTCTGAAGAATCTTTCATTTAGTCTTGGAAGGGTCTAAGCCACATATTCAGCAGGTATTCCTGTAGACGATGCCAACTACTTGATTATGCCTTTCAGTATAGGTTGCTCCTGCTTGCATTTTACATCTCGCCATTATATATTGGACTATTTTTGGGGTGCAATCTACACCTAAAATGTCTAGCGTAGAACTCTGTTTCAATCGATTTAGTGGTTAACGCCTGCTCTTGCTGTTTTGATCAATGCCTCAGTGTTAATCCAGCTTTAGTCCAGCTTTTCCCAACTATTGTAGGATTTCTCAGTGTTAATTAGCTATAACTCATTTGGAGGCTTCCTCTGCTTAGTTTTTTTCCAATGTCTTTAAACATTCTACCAGAGACTCGACGTTCAGTGCTATCTTGCTGATATATTCCTGAATGCTCCGGACTCCATTAAAGATACTGGCTTTGACATTTACCAAGCCCCAATCGCCTCCTTTCTGGGTTGTACGGAGACTTTGAGTATTAGCCTTGTGCAAATTTCCATGCATTTCCGTTTGAGGAGTTTCTGCATTTTCACGCCAGCAACCTCCATGTCTTCCTTTGTTCATCTCACTATGCCAGCTGCATATCTAATGACTGGCAGAGCGTAATGTTAGTAACATGGGTTTTATTTTTCCTATTGAATTGATTTTTCAGGATTTGTCGTATTTTCTGGTGTTAGGTGTTGCTATCTTCCTTGATTCCTCATCGTAGTTTCCATGCAACTATGCGATACCAAGATGTGGCTGGTGCGCTATGCATATTTTCAAACATGCATTCAAATGGGATTCAGATTCTTCTTCCGATCGGAACAATCGGAGCCTGTGATGCTGGCTGTTTGTACTTATACCACCTCTACACTTTCACTGCCGAGTGGTCATAGGGCTAAAATTTCTCGCTCCTAAATGGTGCCGGGACCCTAAATGGTGAACGATAATCGCTTCACGGTTCTTATTGATTTGCCTATATGAAAGGTAAATTTATTGCTTTCAATATTATTTTGATTAATTGCTATTATTCGATCGTTTCCTTTGCTAAATAATTTATCATAAAAAACCTAATAATGCCGAAAATTTTTAGTTTAAATAACAATTCACATGGATTTTATATATAATTTACATGGATATATATATAATCATTGGAACAGTATATTGCTTCGACCAAGATCAAGCGTCAATGGTTTGATTGTCCTCCTTTGATAGTAAATTTGTCATTAAAAGTAAAATCTGAGTGTTGCTGAGAGTCCATTTGGCTATCAAAAAACTTCATGCTAGCAATTTAGTAATCAGTAGCCAGCCAAACTAGAATTGCTGAATGTTGCCAGAAAAAGAAGAGACAGCTGAAGAAAGTATATTGACACAATGAATTCGAGAAAATAATCCAATAATTAATCCCACTATGAGCAAAACAAATATTCGAAATCATCGGATTCAATCATTCTTTTTTTTTTTTAAATAGTCAGTTTGGTTTCAATAATTTATGAAAAATTTATGAGATTTTATATTGAAGAAGGAAATAAATTCATTAGAAACTGAAGAATGAATTAGACCAATTGATTGGCTTTACATTTACAGTAGCTGAATGGATTTCAAGCCGAAATATCTAAATTCGAGAAATACTCAAGCTTATCACAGAAATCTTGAATTTTCAACGTCTTTTGTTTGTATAAATATTTCTTTTGTTTATATAGTTCAAAAACTGTGGCCAGCTGATTTTTCTAAGAGTGCTTACCATTTTCGCTCCATTGCCTAATCTTTTTGCCAGTTGTTGCTTAGCACAGGGGTGAATCGTCAGCATCATTCGCTCTTGTAGAGAGTTTTCAACTTCGACGCTCCGAAATGAGAACAACAGCTTACTGAAGCATTCTACCCTCTGGCTATCAGACTGGACTGATTGAAATATTTTTCTATATCCATTTTAATAAATAAAGAAGCAATAAAGATCCTCTGGTTGTTAGCATGGTGAAATAAAGAGAGACATTAGGATAATTTAGAGAGAGGCTTAGTTGGAGCTAATAGAAAGAGCATTAATGCTAGCCATTTGTGATTGAGCCCATTTCTTGCTACAATGCAGTAATAATCTTTTGCCAGTGAGCGATAGAAGCATAGACCAGCCGCCAGTATCACCTTGATTTTTTAATGACAAA